CAAGGCTCCACCACAGGAGGAGGGTGCACTCAGCCCATAGAAAGGGCAACACCATGAACACACAGCTTGAGTGATACGGGAGGCAGTGCCACTGGCCCTACAGGACACCTACTACATTAGGCCACACTACCAAGCAAGAGTCAAAGCCGCTCTACCTAATACGTAGAAACCAACACAGGGAGGCTGCCAAAACGAAGAGACAAGGAAACATGGCCCACATGAAAGAACAGATCCAAACTCCAGAAAAAGAGCTGAAGAGAATGGAGATAAGCAATCTGTCAGATGCAGATTTCAAAACACTGGTTGTAAGGATGCTCAAGGAATTTAGTGAGGACCTCAGCAGCATAAAGAAGACCCAGTCATAAACGAAGGATACACCAATTAAACAGTTTATGGGGAAACAAAAGTAGAGTGGATGAGGCTGAAAATCAAATCAATGATTTGGAACATAAGGCAGGAAAAAAACACGCAAAACAAGAAGAAAAAAAGAAAAGGATAGTATAAACAGCCTCTGGGACAACTTTAAGAGGTCCAACATTCTCATAGGGGTGGCAGAAGAAGAGAAAGAGCAGGAAATTGGAAATCTGTCTGAAAAAGCGAAAGAAAAATTCTCTAATTTGGTGAAGGAAATAGACATGTAAGTCTAGGAAGGGCAGAGAGTCCCAATTACGATGGATGCAAAGAGGTCCACTCCAAGATACAACATGAATGCCAAAGGGTGAAGGTAAAAAGAGACTCTTAAAAGCAGTGAGAGGAAAGAAAGTTACCAGATGGTTGCCAGATGGGAGGGGAAAGGGGTAGAATAAGTGAAGAGGTGAAGGGATTAAAAAGTACAAATAGATAGTTACTGAATAGCCACGGGGACTTAAAGTACTATATAGGAAATGGAGCAGCCAAAGAACTTACACACGTGACCCGTGGATATGAACGATGGTAGGGGGATTGCCTGAGGGAGTGGAGGGTGCTAGATGGAGGGGGGCAAAGGGGGGAAATTCAGGACAATTATAATAGCATAATCAGTAAGATACAATTAAATTCTCATGAAAGCACTGTAAAATTATATCTTTTTAACTATTTTGAATAAGGAGAACAACACTGGTTTTACCAGAGTTCTGTACAAAAATGTTCTTAGTAGTTTTACTCCTAATAGTCCAAAACTGAGTATAAGCCAAATGTCCACCAAGGGGTAGATGGCTAAACAAATTGTGGTATGTTTGTGGAAAGAGATGCACTACTGAGACACACAGCTATAGTTCACCACTATGGTATACCAAAAGTAGGTTTGTCTGGATCAAAGAGAGAAATTGACATTTGTAATTTTTATAGGTACTTTCAAATTTTTCTTCCTAGGTCTAACTTAATTTTACACTGCCGCTAGCGGTGTTTGAGATGCCTTTCTATCTCCACCTCATCAGCAGAGTATGTTTTCAATCAGTATGGTAAATGAAATCTATCGTGGCAGGTTTGAGCTTGCTTTTCTCAGTGAGGTTGAACTCCGTCTTTTCATATGTTTAAGGCCATTTATATTTCTGTTCCTATGAACTAACATTTCATGTACTTTGCTCACTGTTTTATTGGGTTGTTGGTCTTGATCTCAATTTTTCAGGAGCTTTCTTTATATAAGATATGCCTGTTATATGTGTTGCAAATATTTTGTTCCAGTTTGCATTTGTCTCTTGGTTTTGCTTTTATAGTGTGTTTTGCTATCTAAAATGGCTCTTAATTTTATGTAGCTGAATTTACTATTTTTCTTCTATAGTTTCCAGATTTTACATCATAGTTATAAAGGAGTTTGCTCTGTTTTCTTACATTCTTTTATGGTTTGTCCCTTCCTACTTTCAACATTTGAATTCTTTGCTCTATGTACAGTTTATCCTTATGTATTATATCAGGTATGGATGCACCTTTTTTTAATAGATTGGTTCCAGTTATCCCAATGTCAGTAATTAAAAAGTTAATCTTTAGCCCTGGCTGGTGTAGCTCAGTGGATTGAGCTCGGGCCTATGAACCAGAGGATCGCAGTTCGATTCCCAGTCAGGGCACAGGCCTGGGTTGCAGGACAGTTTCCAGGAGGGGACGCATGAGAGGCAATCATACATTGATATTTCTCTCCCTCTCTCATTTCCCTCTAAAGATAAATAAATAAAAATATTTTTTAAAGTTAATCTTTATTTTAGATGCTGCCTTTATCTTACCCTAATTTTCTTCATGTATTGGAATCTGTTTTGTTTTTTTCTGTTCCACTGGTCTCTCGGTTTATTAAATAGGCACTATCATGAAGGAGCAAATAGTACAAAAAAAATCAGCCTACAGAGTGGAATGAAGGAGTGATTGATGACTTTCCCTCTGTAAAAGAGTAGAAGAGTGAATTTTTGCCTGCTGATGAAATAAACGTACACCTTGTAATCAGCCTGTGCAGAGAAGCATAAGGGTGCATAGCTATATTTGAAAATGGCATTACAGAAATGCATGAGGGAAATTACCAAAGAAACTGAAGGGTTAATAGTCCCAGTTCATTTATTGCCTTTTATGCCATTTGGAATTTGAATTTTGAAATAATGGGACAATTTTCAGCAGTCTAATGAAATGTAAGATTATACCTGGGAGTTCTAAATCAGAGTTCAGTCTATGGCCATAGCACCCTGAACCAGCCCCATCTCACCTGATCTCGGAAGGTAAAAGAGTTAGTTCACTGGACTCCTCAGCAATCCATACATGGGCTTCGAGTTCCATGAACCCTCCCTGAAGTTTTCTGTCAGAGAGAGCATCTGAGTCAGTAGATTCTCAGAAGTCTGACACATGCAGAAGTTAAAAATACCTTCTTTAGAAAGATATCTATACCATGGAATAGGATAGATTGAATGGGGTTTAAAACTAAAGATAGGTTTGCTAATCAAGAAATTTTTGCATTAGAGTAGGAAGAATATGAGTAGCAGAGTGGAAAGGTTAGTTTTCCCTTCGGTTCATTGTTTCTGGAAGGTATGGCTAATGTGTAGTAGTTGTGTTCTGTAAAGTTTCTGCAAACACTGATTTAGTGAAGGGCAACCACAGGTTACTATTACATAAATGAGCTAGAGATGGCCTCTATATATTGACCACTAGGTGGTTTTATTTGTTTGTTTGTTTGTTTGTTTGTTTGTTGTCTGCTGAGGCCCATTCGCTTAAAAGCCCACTGGCATAGGACCCTTGTTTATAGTATGAGAGCTGGAACAAGAATGCACGGTGTCACCTTGTTCAGCCTCAGCTGGCAAAACACGCATTGGACTCGCTCCTCTGCACTTGTTCACATAAGCATTGCAAGTACTGGTTTGGGGGTTACAAGTAAATTTAACGAGTAGACAAATTGCAAATACAGAATTGCACAAATAAGAGAATCAGCTATACCATTTAAATCTCATGCATACTTCCGATGATGAGCCCACTCTCTGAGACATTTTTCTTTTGCTGGGTAGTTTTAATGGTTATATTGAGCTAAATTTGGGGTCCTGGTTTTTTTCTTTTTGTTGTTTTTTTGTTTATTTAAATATATTTTATTGATTATGCCATTACAGTTGTCCCATTCCCCTCCACCCTGCACACCCCTCCCCCGCCATTCCCCCCTTTAGTTTATGACCACATGTCTCAAGTTCTTTAGATTCTGTATTTCCCATACTATTCTTGCCCTCCCCCCATCTATTTTCTACCTACCGTCTATGCTACTTATTCTCTGTACCTTCTTCCTCCTCCTCCTCCTCCTCCTCCTTGTCCTTCTCCCACTCCCCTGTTTCTAATCATAGGTCCTAATTTGCCTTTGTGGATTGTTCCCCCTTTAATATGCTGTTTAAATTCAGCTGTCTTATATTTACCCTTATTCCATTTTTCCCCCTCTAGCATAAAGATTTTTAGTTTCTTTGTGGAACGTTGGGTTTGCTAAGTACTTTAGTAATTTAAAAGAATGAAACCTTTAATTTTATTATCTCTACTTCTCCCCCACCCATACCCTTAAAACTGCCCGACCTGAACTCCCACTGCCTCACTTAGTCCACATTGTGTTTGTCAGTTCTCTTTCAGGTATAAATTATTCGCTGCCAGTTGGGGACATAGGGTAAAGGTCAAAATAGGGATTATTTCAAATATATGGAAAGATCCTTTTTATCTCTCTTTCCAGTGGCCCTTCCCTCTTCACCACTTGCATCTCTCTACTTCTCCCCAGGTCAGCCTCATTCTGTAACGAGATTTCTCAGTGCAGTGGAAAAGGTGGCCCCTGGGGACTCCAGATTCCATCTGCTTGTCATGCTGTAACTGTGCTAGAAGTCTTTCAACCACTTGTCTATCTATAAGTAGTTTTGGGGTCATATATCTAGTGTTGGGTCAGTTGCTATTGCCACAGATGTGGAACACTGATTAGCCAGCTTATGTCACATGTAGCCAGAAGAGTAATGATGCTTGATTGAGATCCTCTTCAGTACCACGTGAATTTTTTAGGAAAGGGCAGATTCTGTGAGGATATGGGGGTGCTAGGCAACTAAACAACAAATATCAATTATACGCATTAAGACAAGCGTTTTCTTTTTCCTACATTTAGGGATCAGTAAAACATCTCCTAAGGACCATCAGTGTGATTGAAGGATTAAACAGTTTTTAGCTTTGAACAATGTTGGATTAAAATTGATTTTGCTTTAAATGTTGGCATCTATTTTTCTTCAGCCATAGGTACATAGGGATCTATTATATTTTCTGTTCTCTTTTATATGTTTAAATATTTTATAATTTTAATAAAGTAAAATTTGTTTTAAGCTGGTGAATAATAAAATTTGTCATAATCTCCCATATTAAGTTAGCTGTAGAAATGATATATCTGACACAGTAATTCATGTGACAGTCAAGGTATTATATTATGAAGCTATTTATTTTATTGATATATTGATTAATATTGATATATTGTAAAGTTATTGATTTTTTTAAATGATGTGAAAAGCATTTTTTTTTTCTTTTCCTCGTATACATTTGTGATACCGTAGGTACCTGCAAGGTGTGGAGTCACCGTCCGGGACAGTCTGAAGAAGGCCCTGATGATGAGAGGTCTGATCCCAGAGTGCTGCGCTGTTTACAGGATTCAGGATGGGTACGGTCTGTGTGTGTGTGAAGTTTTTTTGGAAGAAAACTCAGACATTGAACTTTGGGGTTTTCTCTAAGATCTTTATCTAAACCTTGGGAAAATCAACTTTAGAAAACAGTATTAAGAAATCTTATACTTAACTCTTCGAAGACTTAGTATTAGATATTTTGTGTGTGACCATAGTGTTGCTCTGATCAAATGACTTGACTTGGAATTCATGATTCTTACAATTTTTAAACCATTTAGAATGTGACTCATTTGAATAGTGGAGTCGTCACTGCTCTCCTATTTCTAGTACAAACTCATAGTTTCACAAAGGCTTATCAATGAACATTTTATATTGAACTATTTTTTTTTCAGAAAGCATCTAAAATCATGCCAAGATACCCTCCTCCCAGTTTTGAATCCCATTTTAAAAATTACTCTTTTCAGGGCATGTCATCCCTTGACACTCTTTTTCTTTGGATAGATATATCCGTACCTGTGATTTTTTTTCTTTTTTATTCTCTCTCTTTTTTTTTGGATGCCAGGAACAATCCATTTTCTGCTGTTGTAGATCTTTTCTGGAGCTGATTTGAAGAAAAGAGTACATCTCTTTACCCTGCTGTTTGTCCAAGAGTGATACATTTATTTGGGGTAAACTTAAAAATTAATTTATTGCCATTTAAAATTCTAATGATGGAAGACCAGGGAGCCAAACTTCTCTCACCATTACTAGCCCCTCAATAACCAATTTTCATATCTTCAGCATGAGGTATATGAAGATTTTTAGGTATGATTACCAAGAAAGGCTTCTGTCTGCACTTTTCAGAGAGAAGAAGCCAATTGGCTGGGACACTGATATCTCCTGGCTTACTGGAGAGGAATTGCATGTGGAAGTATTGGAGAATGTTCCGCTTACAACACACAACTTTGTATGTACCTTTACATTTTTTTTGAAATGTCAAAAATGTTTATGTTCTTGTGAATGAATTTTTATGTAGGAAATAAGAAATATGGATGAATAATTTGGGAATTGATATTTTACCTAAATTAAGAATCAGTTCTGTTCTTTTAAAAACTGGAATTTAAACTAAAGAATTTTACTTTAATCAGTATACTTTCTTTCAAATTTGAAAAAAGCAATACACTCCTATTATTATAAGAAAATTAAAAAATGTGAAGTATATCAAGTAAAAATGAAAATACCATGTTAGAGATAAACTAGTATTAATCAATTATTGTATAGTCTTCCAGTCTGTTTCTGTGTATACGAACATATATACTTATATCTGTGAGCCTAAGGTTTTTTCCTTTCTCTTTTCTTCTCCATTCCCCTTTTTTCATTATTTTCCATTTCTTTCCTATTCTTAAACTAAATATGGAGTCTTTCTTGTTCTTTGTGATATTCTCTACCTTTCAAAAAAATCAACAGTACATCATGGATATCTTTTGATAGTACCCCTAGCTTTATTTTTATGATTGCATACTAACCTATAAGAATAGTATAAATTCAGTACATTTAATCATCCCTCTATTAATAGACATTTAGATTTTTTGAAAATCTATTATATACAGGGCTAAATAGGATCTTTCTGCATACATCTTGACATACTTGCGTAAATTTTTCTGAAAGATTTGTTAATGGAATGAAACAGCTCTTCTTGAGGACTGAAAGAAGACTTTAGAACTCTCCATGAGGACATCTCCCTTTGGTTTCTGCATTTGCTAGAACCTAGCCTAAACTAGGTGTCACCAGCATGAAGCCTGAAGAGTGAGGTTTCTCTGCCTTATAGATGAGGACGCAGTTCCCAGAACTTGAGATTCTATCCTCTAAAAGGGTAGGCAAATGCAGGATTAGAATGGTCTATAAAACAGAAATGAATTTCTTATCTGTATATACAGGGTCCAGCAGAAGTAATGTCTGCTTGAGTGTAGTTGGTAGGGTAATAATATGGGTATAATAATTTATAGCTTTAATTTGAACATTTTACCTAAAATGTCATATGGTGTGCTTGAGTGTGATATGTTACAGAATTACATGCTTATGATTTTGTAATAAAAGATTCTGTAATAAAAAGGGGGCATTATTTGTGCTGGACCATGTATATGGAATTTTAGCCATAGTTTATTTTGGAATTTTAGCCATAGTTTATTTTTTTCTAGATGGATAGTTAATGCTACATTTTTTGTGTCAAGTGTTTTCCTATGTGCCTTAGTGGTTAGTACAGCTGGTCTCTTAAAGCAGACAATTGATGAGATGATTTCCTTGGGGGATTGTGCTTTAGGTGCTCAATTAGCGGTAAATAATGAAATTAAGTGTTTCGATAATTAAGGCATCTTTTGAACAAGTGTAAAATATACCTAATATCAGTAAGATTTACTGTATAGCAAACAGTTTTGTAATAATGAACTGGGAAGTTCATTACTATTGAGATTTTTCTTAATTCAATATAGAATTTCAAGTGGTAAGTGTTTGGGAATCCAAAAACAGTTGTTCTTACATTTCATAGTGATTACTACTGTTTAATTATTCTTAGCTAGAAATTGGATATGGGAAGGTGAAAGAAGACCTAAGTTGCCAGCTGGGAAATTGTGTTAAAATAGTGCCCCAGGAAGGTCCTTGCCATAACAGTGCAATGAAAGCAAACTGCAGGTTAGCCCGGAGTGTGGAAATCTTTTCAGCATAGTGGGAGACCTGCCAGTAAATATTTATGGAAAATCTTCCTTTTGCCAACACCATGTCTGATCTAGGAATATAACAATGAATAAGAAAAACAGTATCCTGGCCTTAGATTAGAGACAAATGACTTAATAAGAAAACGTCATAAACACATATAATTACTGTGTATGTGTAAAGTGCTATAGATACACAAAGTAGAGATGCTTTGAGGAGTCAGGAAGGTTTCCCAGAGGAAAAGTAACCTAAGTAATGGATGAGAGGAGCAGATGAAAGTGAAGGAAAGAGTGCTCAAGGCAGAGTAAATAGCAAGAAAACAGGTTGCTCTTTGAGTTTTAAAAAAATATTCAGAACGGGTGGTACAAAGTTAAGGGAGGGGGATGTTACAGGATTGCAAGAGTTATGGGCAGAGTAAGCAGATTCCAGCTCAGGGGAGCCCTTTTAAGCCATATTAATGATTTGCATTTTTCTGTAAAATAATTGGAAATTGAATGATTGTAAGCAGGGGAGAAGTGTGATTAGGTAAGTGTTTTAGAACAACTGCTCTGCATATCCTGTAGATGCAAGAGTTAAAACCTGTACTTGATGCTTAGAAAGGGAAAGAGTTTCTCTCCGCATCTCTGCTGGATTTTGCTGGCTACTCAAGGAATGCTGCTGATGCCTTACGGTTTCAGAGTCTGTTATAAAAGCAGTCCCTTCTCTACTTCCCTACGTCCCAGGAGTCCTTGAGAACTGGTAGGGTGAAAGGAGACAGGCAAGGTTGGGAAACAAAAATTTGAAAGAGATGACATTTGTCTAGCCCTTCCCTTTTTCTATAGGCACTCAGGTTAATGTCTTCCTTCAGACAGCCCACACTTTACAAATGGATGCATGCAAACTGTCTGGTCTTCATCTCCTGTTAGTTTACCATCCATGTCTTGAGATGCTCAAATTCAGAATAAACCTAAATTGTGAACCAAAGGAAAAGATACATCTTCTATCGCTCACCTTTATTGACAAAGGTATACTCAAAAATATAAAGTACGGCAAAAGTAGGTTTACAGTTGTTCATATGGAAAATAATACAGTAATTAATAAATAATAATAAAAGAATAAACTCTCTCTTTCAGGTATTCACAACTGTAAACCTATTTTTTGTGGCCCCCCCATATGTTACTGGTAATATACACTCAAGGGCATACCCAGGTTTTCTCCTCTTAATTACTCTCCTCTTTCTGCTCCCCTCCCTTCTCCCCTCTTTCCTTATCTCTCTCTCTCTCTTTATTCTCCTTTACATGTACAAACAACCAGTTACCCATAGTTTTCAAGTATAAGTTAGTGACGGGAAGAAAGACTGCAATTGAGTCAATTAACACAGGAAGAGAAATTAGGGTTTTATGATACTCAACAGATTGTCAGGAGAGTGAAGGTGTGAGTGGTTAGCAAAGAGGATCAGATGACTATAAAATGCTGATTCCTGTGCAAAAGTTTTTATCTTTTTGTATGCCCCATTTCCTGAATTTACACTAGCAATGTAAACTGTTGCTGACTTTGGTAAATAGTGGTCACATAAATGTAAAAAATCTTCTGATTTCTTGTATATCCAGAGACAAGTGGAAAAAGAACAAAACTAAAGACAAGTGGTTGCTTTTTTATGTCCCCTAGAAAGTGATAATAGGAAACAAATGAAGAAAACAAGAGCCATTTTAAAAATCACCTAAATGTTCTCAAAAGCCAAAATGGATGATATATATACCAAGATACCATTTTCTTGATGAAACATTTTTAAATTTTATCCTGTTAAATATGAGTTTATTGAGAAGAATTTGGTAAACTTTGGGTGTTGAGATCAACTTAATGGCTCATGAAAAGCATTTGCCATTTTTTGCCATGTATAATGTGTACTTTTTTGCCCAAATTTTTGAAGGAAAAATAAGGGTGCACATTGCATGTGCATAGTACCTGAAATACCTGATCTTCTGTTTTGTAATTATTTGTTACATAAAATTTCTTGTACCATAGTATGTTCAAAAATAAATGCTAAAGTTCTTTTGTAATGCAAAAAAACAAGTACCTAAATATAAATAAGTAAAAAATTAAATTAAAAAAATTAAAGTGAAGATTTTTTTCCCCTGCAAGTTCAGGCCAAAAATGTGGGTGTGTATTATATATGGCAGCACATTATACACGGCAAAATACAGTTACATGTAGTTAGAGTAAGTATTGTTACATGAATACAGATGTGTCTTAGGTCATAACGTAAAATGTATTTTTATTACGGTTTTTGATTAAAACTCCGAAAAACTGAGGTGAATTGAGAATATTCAGCAAAGAATAAAGGACAAAACAGAAGTCATCCATACTCACCACTCTGAAATAGCCATTTTTAACATTTTGGTATTTGCTTATCCTTCTTATACTTTCTGCTTATTATTTACATAGATAACTATTTTTTAAACAATTTCTAGCTTTGGTAGTTATCAAGGTAGAGCCTCCCTTAAAAAAAAAATACAGCCTCCTTAGCACAGTTCTATTTATGTGACCCATGTTGTGTGTGTAGATCAGCGATTTTCAACCACTATGCCACCTGAATTTTTAAAACATGCATTACCTGACTATTTAGTCAGGGGCACTGACCTCTTCCCTTCAACTGTCAATTAAAAAATGACAGCAGCCAACACAATAGCCATCCAGTGTGAATGAACCAAAATGCACCTTTTTTTCTGTCAAATTGGCAAAAAGATAAATTTTTTGGTGTGCCATATAATTTAAGTAATTTGTTTATGTGTGCCATGAGATGAAAAAGTTGAAAATCGCTGTTGTAGACCATCTGCCTCATGTATCTTTTTTAAGTTTCTCATAGAGGAGTGTTCAGACGCATCAGGTGCTTTCTACTCTTAACAGAACGAGAATTTGTCGAAAGCTGTTCACATTGTCCTTGAGGTGATTTTTTCTGGCTCTTAGTAAGTTTAGGTCAGATTGTTGTGCTTTTCATACAGTTACAGATAGTTTTTTTTCTAAATAATTGTTTTTACATTTTAATGAAAGTATATTTACATTTTAATCAAATGTATATAGTTTTAAAAGTAGTGCAGAGGGGCTTATAATTAAAAATAATCTGTTCCACCATCTCTTGCTAGCCTCTAATGCCAATCTCCAGTGGAAATCACTCTTAACTTTTAATGGTTTCTGTTTTAAGCCTTTTCTGTGATTATTAAGCCACAATTTCTTGCTTTATCAACTTTAAACATCATTTACTTGTTATTGATTCCATTGGAAATTAGCTCATTTGTGACATTATAACCTTTCCTCTTCCTTCCTTCCTCCAATGTGTTTTTTTTTTATTTTGGGATTTTTGAGGCTCCCCTGTTGGATGCCTTTGTGACTTTGAATAGTATTAGCATACTTTTGTTTTTTATTCGCTTAACACCAGTATATATCCCGTAACTCCTTTCTTTGTAGTTATTATATTGTACCTTCCTTTTACTTCTAGTCCCTCCTCTTGTCAAGTCTCTGCTTTTACTGTTATCTAGTCAAGCTTGAAATTAGTTTCCTGTCCTTCATTCATTTCTCATCAAGACTTTGAGTTTTTTAATTGGATATTGGGTAGGAGATAATACATACAATCTCTCTACTAGCTTGAACCTACTGATTTTCATTTTAATATTGTAGTGTGTAAGGCAGTTCTCATGACATAAACATATGAAAGATTTATTTTAAACCAGAGAATAAATAAGTTGATTTCTTAAAAGTTTCTTGTGAGTTTTTTACATCTCCCGTGATGTTTTGCAGGTACGGAAAACATTTTTCACCTTAGCATTTTGTGACTTTTGCCGAAAGCTGCTTTTCCAGGGTTTCCGTTGTCAAACATGTGGTTATAAATTTCACCAGCGTTGTAGTACCGAGGTTCCACTGATGTGTGTTAATTATGACCAACTTGAGTAAGTAATCAAAAAAATTTCTATCTACCATTTTACATTTAATTTTTCTGAATGTGAAATTAGTGTGTCTTAGAGTTTGGGGGTGGGGGGTTCTGTCCAGTAGAGTTGTTACAGGGAATTTTCTTTTAAAGTGTGTCTAGAAAGTACTATGTAATATAACCTGTACTTGACTCCAAAATGTACTTCTGATTCAGCTACATGGTTTTTTAATGTTTTATATTCTCTTGTAATTAATAAGGATCCCTTGCTCATAGAAATCACTTTTAGATAGTTTTTGGGAGGAGAGGTGTTGTTTTAGTTAAGTTAACAAATATTTTTGGACCACAGATAAAGGGATCTGATTCTGTCATCTATTTTGTAAATTGTGTTTCTCTCTCTCTCTCTCTTTCTCTCCCCTCCTTGTCTCCCTCTCTCCTTTAACCCCACCTGCACCCCCAGTTTGTTTAAAAGTAAGATATAAAAACTTTGTACCCAGTGTATCTCTTTCTAAAGTTTCTCTTTGCTTTTTATGCTAGTTTCTCTAATAGATTAAACTAAGTCTTTTAATATTTTTGTGTGCTGTTGCTGCTGCTGAGGTCTTACTACTTTTCCTGATCACTTGAGCAAATAGAACTCAACTCTGTATTTTAAAGTATATTATAATGGTGTGATCTAACTTTGCAATAGTTACATTTTCTTCTAATTCCTTAACTATGAAGCATGATTTTTCCCCTCCGATATATAGAAATTTGCTGTATAGAACATTTAGTTTTAGATTCTGAGCTTGCCTTTGAAAATACAATATAATTTTAAAAATAAGCCTCTAGATAAAAATATAACTAATTGAATTAACAGTCATTTCTAAAAATGGAATTTGATTTCAGATATTTTTGTTAACTCTATAATGTATTCTGATGTATGAAGCTTCTGGGTTTTGCACAAGTTAGGTTTGTTTTGTTTTGTTTTTCTTTCTGCCTCACAGTTTGCTGTTTGTCTCCAAGTTTTTTGAACACCATCCAATACCACAGGAGGAGGCCTCCTTAGCAGAAACTTCCCTTGCATCCGGATCATCCCCTTCCGTACCCCCCTCCGATTCTATTGGGTATGATTTGACTCCTGCTATTCAGTGAAATGCTATTTGAGCTGGTTTCTTTTGGATATTTGGTTACTTTAAACTTTTTTTATTAGCATTGGGATTGTTAAAGAGGGACTTTTTTCCAGATAACTTATTTTATTACACCAGTCAGATAGTTAACATGCATTTGGTACAGATACTTGGGATTGAAACTGACATAGACTGTTTCAGGACTAGTCTCAAAAAAATCAAGCAACAGATAACTGAGTGAGTCCTAGATATAGAAGTGCATGACTTCATTTAGAAAAGTAGCATTAACAGGAGACAGTGGCAAAAAATTTTAAAATGATACATAATTAAATTTTATAGTTTATGACATGGTATTTTAAACTTAAGTTATAAGGACAAATACTGCCATGTTCACAGAGCAGAGGATAAGGGAGCAAGAGTAGTCAAAAAAACTTAATGAAGAAAGTAGGATTTTAATTGGACCTTAAAAGAATTCTAAAACCGAATGAGCTAGGAAATAAAAGCATGGGGATTGGAAGGTGGAGGAGGGAGGAGAAATAGCATAAATAAAGGGAATGGCAGTGGTATATTTAGGAGATAGTAGAGAGAGACTAAGTCAAGAAGGAGCGTGTGTGAGAGTAGATTATGGAGAGTCTGGGAATTTAGACAGGAGTTTACACTTGGCGTGAGAGGGGAGAAAAGAATAAAAGGTTTTGAGCAGAGTACTAACCTGATGAAAATAGTTTTAAAGAATTCCTTAATACTAATACACAGTTAGATTGATAGAAAAATGTCTGTGGTAAAGAAGGCCAACTCAGAGTCTGTTGGTTGTGAAGACAGTGAGGAACAATGAAGACTTAACTGGAGGGGTAGCAGCAGGCAGAAGCAATGAATTTCATAAAGTGTAAAAGAAAAAAATTAATATTATTGATCAGTTATAGTAGATAAAGGAGAGAACTCACTTTAAAGATGATACAAAGTTATCTACATATTCAAGTGTCATATGAGGGGGGAAAAAGAGATGATAATTAATATAGAAGATATTGGGTTGGCCAAAAAGTTCATTTAGGTTTTTTCCCATACAATGGTTGTAGTAGTGCTTAGTTGTCTTTAATTTCATTCAAAACAATGTTGTTAAATTGTATTGTGGAAGCTGTCATATCAGCATGCGTTTCAAAAAATAAAACATCAAGCCCTGGCTGGTGTAGCTCAGTGGATTGAGCGCGGGCCTGCGAACCAGACTATCGTGGTTCGATTCCCAGTCAGGGCACATGCCTGGGTTGCAGGCCGGTTCCCTGCAGGCCAGTTCCCAGCAGGGGATGCACAAAAGGCAACCCTACATTGATGTTTCTCTCCCTCTCTCCTTCTCTTCCCCTCTAAGGATAAATAAATAAAACCAATAAAAAAATAATAAAATAAGAAACATGTATTTTTTTTATTAAAAATAAATAAATAAAAAATAAAACATCAAGATCCTTTTGTAGTTCATAAGTATGATGATTGGGTGTTCATGCTCATGTGTGACATGTGCCTCCCACAAACCTTGGTACAACATCAGCACATTACCTGTCAGATGTGGAAAAAAGTCAAAATTGGTGAATTTTTATGTAGCCACTTTAATATTGAAGATGAAGGGAAATGCGCATATTTTCCTTCATCTTCATAATTTTTGGCATATTATGCTTTATTATTTCAAGAAAGATAAAAACACAACTGAAGTGCAAAAAATAATTTGTGTAGTGTATAGAGAAGGTACTGTGACTGATCAAACATGTCAAAAGTGGTTCATGAAGTTTCTTTTGACATTTTGGCCAAATAACTCTGCTGTGTGGCTGTCCTTATGCACTGGAAGATATTTAGTGGCACCCCTGGCCTTTACCTACTAGAAGCCAATAGCAGGAGATAGCCAACGTACGCAAAATATCCAAATCAATAAAGTTGCTGGTGAAAATGAAAAATATGTTTTTTATTTTATGGGAAAATCTAAACAGACCTTTTGGTCAACCCAATACTAGTTTGCTTTGGACCATTTCTTATACAGGTCTGCTTACTCTTTCCCTGTGAGATTTGAGGAAGCATAAATTATACTATATCTTGAGGCATACAGTTAAAAAGTCACTACACAGCATTCTGTTCTAGACAATTCTAGAGATAATTAGTTAAGATCAGAAATATTTAATGTCAGTTTTAACCCTACTTCCTCTCACTCTTCACAATGTAATGCTATTTCTTCTACCCAGAGAGATAAAAAAAAATTGATACTCCCAGTAGATGCTTAATTTTTATTAAACCAACCTTTCTGGAGGATGCATAGGCTAGAAAATTGAGCAAAAAACTTTTGTATTAAGGTGTAGATGTATTTACCTATTTTGGACCAGCTAGAAAATGCAACCCCTGTGTTCTCTTGACAGGTTTTAACAGTTACCCACTCTGATGGAGTCATCTTATTCTTACACTCTCTTATCATTATTTGTGTGCAGAGTATATTTCTTAGGAGACCAAGTGAAAATGTTTTTGGTTTTTTTTTTTTTAATTAATCCTTTAATTATGACATTTACTCCTGACAGATTGTATAGACTATGATGCCTTTCTAATGGCAGATACCAGTTCTGTGAGCAGAGTTACAGAACACTATAATCAAATTAGCTTGGCCTCTCTGAAGGTTTATAGTGGTAATGATCAGGACATTTGCCTACCAGTGATGGGAATGCTAAATTTAAATTAGGAAACTATTCACCTATGCCATACTTTATTCATAGATTCTAGTCCTGAGCAAATGATAGAAAGATGTTCAAACTTTTGTTTTCCTGATGCTTTCCTGTCACAAATGTGTATGTGTACCTGTGAAAGACAAACGCCCATCCTGTTCTTATCAAAATTCTTTTGCATTTTGTTAATCTGATAACAATCATATATGAAACACATATAATAATAGAATGCAACCGGGAGAAGTGATACATTGCCCAGTTTGGATAAACAGAGGTACCTACCTACATTTCTACCTTTAAAAAATGCTATAGAATATATAAATTTATCAAAGGTTGGCATTTCAAAATTTGCATATTGCTAAACATAAGTAGTGACTTTGCCACAAAACTGTTAATATTCTAGATTAAAAACAAGACTTAAACTAATTGGTAATTTGCTGAAGAGTGTCATAGGTTACAAATTTTTTTATTTTTAATTTAATGCTGTTTAAAAGAGTTGTGCAGCTTAGATAGGTAGAAATTTCATGAGGAGAAAGCCAGTTTGCTGACTACTAACCCCACAGGATATAAATTGCCTTGGTCTGAGTAAAGACTTGCCATCATGGAAACAATTTTATCATTTTCCAGAAATGGTGAGAGTCAGGGACATACAGTGTACATTAACCAGAATTGGAAAACACTAATTCAGAATAACAGGTAATTCATTGCAGTGAGAAATAGTCCCGTTGTGTACACTGAAGTTCTTGTGTTGGATGGGACAGCACTCACACTGCTTTTGGAAAATATCAGAAGCCAAATTATAATCAAAAGGTTGTTTCTATTAAGCGTGGAATTAGGCCATGGTTCAAATGTTTAATGAAGTTAGAATATAATAACTTGAAGTATTCTCCAAAATTATAATACACTTGTCCTCAAGGCTAGATAAATTGACTTTATGGAACAATGCATACCTTGCCCTGGGTGGTGTTTGATACCAGCTACCAAATTATACTCTTTCTGACTTGTGTAATAATCATGTATCCTTTTTGTCTAATATATCTATTTTTTCTTTAGATATGATAATATTTCTCAGATTAAATCCAGTTATTGTTTTTCTTACTTCTGGACCAGTGTTTTTTACATACATACTTCTGATTTGGTATGCACTATATACTGCTGTGTTCATTTAGCCAGTTCCAAAAATGAGTTGCTGTCACTTAGGCCTACACCAAGTCAATTATATTAATCTAGACTATCTTATAATTAATTCAAACTTCTTGTGCCTTTAATTCCTGCCTTAAAGTATGCTACTGCCTTGAGATTTCAAATCAGCCTATAAAATAGCATTTTTATATATATTTTATTGATTATGCTATTACAGTTGTCCCATTTTTTTCTTCTCCTTTATTCCCCTCCTCCCTGAAGCCCCTCTCCCACCCACCAGCATTCCCCCTCCTTTAGTTCACGTCCATGGGTTGTACATATGAGTTCTTTAGCTTCTCCATTTCCTGTACTATTCTTAACTTCTCCATGTCTATTTTGTACCTACCATTTATGCTTCTTATTCCCTATACCTTTTCCCCCGGGCTCCCCCAACCCTTGCCCGCTGTTAACCCTGCATGTGATCTCCATTTCTGTGATTCTGTTCCTATCCTTATTTGCTTAGTTGGTTTTGGTTTTGGTTTTGGTCCAGTGGTTTGGTTGTCATTTTATTGTTCGTAGTTTTGATCATCGTTTTCTTAGATAAGTCCCTTTACCATTTCACATAATATAAGGGCTCGATTATGATAAACTTCTTTAATTTGACCTTATCTGGGAAGCACTTCATCTGCCCTTCCATTCTAAATGATAGCTTTGCTGGATAGAGTTATCTTGGATTTAGGTCCTTGCCTTAATGAGTTTAAACACTTCTTTCTAGCCCCTTCTGGCCTGTAAGGTTTCTTTTGAGAAATCAGTTGATAGTCTTATGGACACGCCCTTGTAGGTAACTGTCTTCTTGTCTCTTGTTGCTTTTAAGATTTTCTCCTTATTTTTAATCTTGGGTCTTGTAATTATGATATCCCTCTGTGTGTGCTTCCTTGGGTCCAACTTCTTTAGGACTCTGGGCTTCCTGGATTTTGTGGAACTCTATTTCCTTCATTAGATTAGGGAAGTTCTCCTTCATTATTTGTTCAAATAAGTTTTCAACTTCTTGCTCTTCCTCTTCTCCTTCCGGCACCCTTATGATTCAGATGTTGGAATGTTTAAAATTGTCCAGAGGTTCCTAAGCTTCTCCTCATTTTTTTGAATTCTTGTTTCTGCATTCTGTTCTGTTTGAATGTTTATTTCTTCTTTCTCCAAACTGTTGGTTTGAGTCCTGTTTTTTTCCACTTCATTGTTGGTTCCCTGTATATTCTTTTTTATTTTACTTTGCAGAGTCTTCACTTTATCCTCTATTTTTCTAACATACTCAACCATTTCTGAGAACATCCTGATTATCAGTGTATTAAACTGTGCTTCTGATAGGTTGGCTCTCTCTTCATTGCTTAGTTTTATTTTTGGAGCTTTGATCTGTCCTTTCATTTGGGCCACATTTCTTTGTCTCTGCACGCCTGTTACAGTGTAAGGGATAGAGCCTTAGGGTGGGACAACCCGTGTTGCTGCTTTGTGGCGCCGTATGTGGGGGAGGAGTCCGAGAGGGAACAGTGCCACTGCTCAGCTCTCGGCTGGCTTTCAATAACTTTCCCCACTACCCACAAGCAAATTGGACCTTTTGGTGCTGATTCACAGGTGGGTGGGTTTGTGTTCTAGGACTGTGTGGTTCTCTCCAACAAATTCTTCTGTGAAGCTGGGAGTTTCTCCCACTGCCACAACCCCCACAGGTTTTTACAGCCAGAAGATTTGAGGCTTTTTTTTCCCCACACTGGGACCCTTGGTTGTGTGGTCTGTCTCGCTCCCCAGTTGTTCCTCCTGGTTTATCCGCATGCAGATGTGGGGCCATCTAGTCCTCCAGCCACTGCCTTGCTACACATCCTCTCTGCCCCAGCTGCCTTCCCCACCGCTCCTACTAGTCTGAATGAATGTTTCTTTTTTAAATCCTTGGGTGTTGGACTTTACTACAGTTCGATTTTTCTGGCAGTTATTTTTTTTTAATTTGATGTTGTCTTTTTGATTGTACAAGGAGGCAAAGTGTATCTACCTATGCCTCCATCTTGGCCAGAACTGTGTAACTTTAAAGGACAAGAGTTTCTCCAGCTCATTAACCACAGGTAATTTCTAGCTGTTTGTAGATTTCCCTGGAGTTTTCGGGATGAGAATCAGTGTTCTTACCAATGATAGTCCCTGGAGGGTCTGCTTCAGCAAAGCAGCTTTGTCAGTAATAGTTGTAGGTATATGTTAGTTTTTCTAACTAATGCTTTAAAAATTCATTTCTGCTGGGTTTTTAATGCTTTGGGTTAACCATTTTATTTGAGAATATGAAAACAAGGGGATCTTGCCCCGGCTGGTGTGGCTCAGTATTTCAAGTGGCATCCTGTGAACCAAAGAACTGCTTGGTTGGATTCCCAGTCAGGGCACATGCCTGGGTTGTAGTCCAAGTCCCCAGTAGGGGGTGCTCAGGAGGCAACCACACATTAATGTTTCTCTTTCTTTCTCCCTCCCTTTCCCTCTCTAAAAATAAATAAATAAAATCTTAAAAAACAAAAACAAGTGAATCTTTATATCACCCATATTTTATATTGCTATTTCCATAAAATTGCTCTGAATCTCATCTTCCAATGACTTGATTTTTCCAGGCCCCAAATCCTCACCACTCCGTCTCCTTCAAAATCCATTCCAATTCCACAGCCTTTCCGACCAGCAGATGAAGATCACCGAAATCAGTTTGGACAACGAGACCGGTCTTCATCAGCTCCAAATGTGCATATAAACACAATAGAACCTGTCAATATCGATGTAAGTATGAAGCATTGTTAGAACTAAAAAAAATTAAGGTGTACTTATTTTTCTACTACAGTTATAATATAAATCAGAAATAAGTGCCATTTTTCAGTAATCATAGTTATGTGTGATAGACTTTTATGAACTACAGATCAGAAAAGATTTGTCATCTTCTCTAATGGCATTAAATGCGTAACTGGCGCCAAATTGCAGGCTTATTCTGATTCTGTTTTTCCTTATGACACCATCTATAAATGTCTTATCTTCATTTATTTAACAGATAATCCACTTGGCCATTTCATGGTAAAGAAAAAAATAATAATACAGTTACAGGTTTTTTCTTTAAATCAATTTGAAATCTTCACCTACATTTCTTAAAAGTACAAGTTTGAATTAAATAACCCTTAGTGACTAATCATTACTTTATGTGTTTGATATGTAAAGCTACCTATATCTTCTTTACTGTCTTGAATGGACCGTTGTATTTCATCTCTATACACCTCTTGAATTTTGGCATATTTTTATAAATATAGTTTGTCATTCAGTTTTACTCATTCATTGTTTAAAGTACATCTGTGGTCTCCTGATCATATATTGTAATCTCACCTCTTCAGTTATTTTGGCCATCTTCTCACTGGTGACTCTTTTTAATTTTTTAGTTTACCTTGCACCCTGTAACTTAATTGTGTACATTAGTGTCACTTCTTCATTTAGATCTTAATTTCTAGACAGCAAAAAACGTTCTTTGGCACCTATCCTAGACTTAACCACATAATAGGTCATCCAAAAAAACTGTATCTGTAAAAGAGTTAAAAAGCGGTCCTAGTTGGTTTGGTTCAGTAGGTTGAGCATTCTCCCACAAACTAAAAGGTCTTCAGTTCAATTCCTAGTCAGGGCACATGCCCGGGTTGCAGGCCAGGTCCCCAGTTGGGGGTGCGCAAGAGGCAACCATACACTGATGCTTCCTTCCCTCTCTTTCTCCATCCCTTTCCCTCTAACCAAAAAAAAAAAGTCTTAAAAAAAATAAAGCAATAGAAATTTCCCATAATACAGACCAGGGGTCAACAAACTCTTCCTTAAAGGGCCAGATAATAAATAATGTAAGCTTGTGGGTCATGATTTCTAATTACAGCTATTGAACTTTGCCATTGTAGTATGAAAGTAGACATAAATAATGCCTTATAAGCAAATGGGCATGGCTGTATTCCACTACAATTTTATTTATAAGTACAGGTGACCAGCTCACTGTGCTTTGCCAGTCCCTAATTAGACAAAGAGAGAAAGCGATGAGAAAAAAGATGAAACACACAGGATCAGTCCAGAAGGACTGGTCCGTTTCATTGAGTCATCCCGATAGCTAAAGTGCCCTTGTTGTCTGGGCTGTGCTGAGCTGGGATCCTTAGAATGATCTTAGAATTAGGTGTTATGTTTTCTAGCACTTGTGCATGAGAATAAAGAGTATAGGTTATCCTTAATCTCTGGAAGGTAATTATATGTAAAAAGGAAATTGAAATGGTTTCCCCATGTAAACAGGGGCCTGGAGTTAATGAGGTGGTTATGTGTGTGTTAGAAGATGGGTAGTTCTAATTATACAGTCATTCCTTATGTGAGTCTTCATAATTACAAGGTAGAGTGGAGAAGCAAAAATTGTCCTTATAGGAAAATGTTCACTAATTAACAGGGTACTTTAATATTAGTTTCTACTCAAATAGCCCTTCCCATTTAATTCCAGCCTGCATTTCAGCCCTTTTACATCAGTATCGAACATTTCATTGAAAACATAATATGAACGGATTGGAAATCTGGCAAAAAAAAATGGAAGGGTTTTATGAAAACTGTAAAAAGTTACTTTGGAAAACTACTCAAATCATATAAAGCCATTGAGAAATACGCACAATGAAATTAGTCCAGTTAATAACAGAAAACAAAATCCATAAGAATTAAAATGTAATTGACTCTTCAAATGAGAATGATTTAAATATCAAAGGATCAGTAGAGGCCTTAGAGGATAAAGTCCTCTAAAATTTATTAACATGATTGTGATGTAAAAGATCTGTTTGAAACTTAGAATTTCAATTTGTGCTATCATAAATTTGGTATTATGACCAACAAAAACTTGATTCTTTCTGTGTTTATTCTAGAAATTAACATATTTTTGAGATCAAAACTTAGATTTTGTTATAAATTTTAACTTCCTTCCCTGGCTGGTGTAGCTCAGTGGATTGAGCGCAGGCCTGCGAACCACACGATCACGGTTCAATTCCCAGTCAGGGTACATGCCTGAGTTACAGGCCAGTTCCCAGCAGGGGACACACAAGAGGCAACCATACATTGATATTTCTCTCCTCCTCTCCTTCCTTTCCTCTCTAAAAATAAATAAATAAATAAAATCTTTTTAAAAATCATTAAAAAAATAAAAACTTCCTTATTTAATGATAAATTCCCAAATCAAGCTTTCCACTTTTTACTATGAGATTTTTTTCTGTATTTTAAATGACCTTTTCTTAATATTAATTTTTCTCAACTGTAATAAGGCCTTCCTTAATCCAGCTATACCTGACTACAAAGGGAGAAAGATGTGGGAAAGGGGAATATGAAAATAAACAGATAGTGAAATAAGAAATCAAATCTTATTTCCAGGTTAGGTCTGTTATCAGATGTTCAAATTGTAACCTTCATCTTACTTTCAAAAGGAACATTCTTTTAAAGATTTTGTTTATTCATTTTCACAGAGAGGGGAAGGGAGGGAGAAAGAGTGGGAGGGAAACACTGATCAGTTGTGTCTCTCATGCCCCCAACTGGGACTGGGCCTGCAACCCTGGCATGTGCTCTTACCAGGATTTGAATCTGGTGACTCTTGGCTCTGCAGGACATTGCTCAACGCTGATGAGAGCTCAGAACAGTCTTGTTAGACCAGTGATTTTCAGTCTTTTTCATCTAATGGCACACAAACTAATTACTAAATTCTGTGGCACACCAAAAAATAGACTGTGTTGGCTGTTGTCCTTTTTTTTATTTGACAGTCTAAGAGAAAAGAGGTCAGTGCCCCTGACTAAATAGTCGGGTATTGCATGCTTTAAAAATTCCTGTGACGCACTGGTTGAAAATCACTGTTTTCACTTTTAACTGTTATTGTTGCCACTGTTCTATTGTCTTAGGCTTGAACATTTGGACTGTCATCTTCTTATCGCATTTTCGTTCTCCCCCATTCAGAGAGTCATAAGGTATTAACCTTGTCCTTTCAACATGAATCTGAGATGTGTTAACAACCACCACCATGTGGGCCCAAATTTCTTCATATGAACTGCTTACTGCATTAATGTCCTAAATGGATTTCCTGCCACTGATTTCTTCCTCTCCATTTCCATTCTTTATGCTGCTACCAGCTTAATTTTTTATAACACCTCTATCATCATCTCTTCCCTTGTTCCAAAGCTGTCATTGACTTCCCATTGATTGTAAGATAAAATATAAACCCTTTAGGCATTTTTGTTCAGTATCAATAATTTCATTCAATTTCAGCCATTATTTATCATTTCTTATTCCAGTAAACAAGATTCAATATTGACTCTGGGATACACACTGTGTCAGAATTGGGAATTAAGGATGAATTAGCAGTCTTTACCCTCAGACAAGTCATAATCTAATGGATGAATCAGATGTATAAATAATCACATATATATATAAAGACACTTTACTGGAGCAAGTGATAAACTCTGCCTGGCTGGATCTAGGAATATTTAGCAGAGAAGGAATGACATTTAAGGCAGATTATAAAAGATGAGTAAGTAGGAGTTTATTAAGTACACTAGTTGGGGGTTCTGGAAAAGGGGGCACATGTTATGGAAACAATATGTGCAGAAATATGGAAGTACCTTTACACAGAAAGTTAGTGAGACCACCAGGACTTCGTTTATTGGTAGCCATACAATCCCCAACACGTAGCACCTTGTTTGCAGGTATGTGTGTATTTGTTGATCTGTAAACAATGCTGAAAGCTTTCTGTAATACATTGAACATGATAGAAATACACTTGTAAAGAATTCACTCTTTGTTTTAGCTTATAAACAACAAGCTGCCTATTTGCAAAGAGCCTGTGAGCCTATTTAGAGACATTTGGGGCCATTCAGTGCCTCACATTTAAGTTATACTGGGTAAACACACTAATTAAGTTCTGCCTAGTAAGATCCAAATTACATTGCCTTGCTAGAAGATTCTTCCCCCAACCCCAAAACTGTCCTGTGTAAAAAAAAACATATTTTAATAATACAGACAAATTTTAACAAAACCCTGTTGGAGCCATTTTATTTTTTCCCTTGTGTATTTTTACACATCACATTTTTATGATTGTAATCAGTGTATTTTTATTTTGTATTTTTTAATTATATTGCAAACATGTTTTCATGATTTCATCTTCATAATTATTTCAGTTGCTGCATAATACTCATTAAATTTATATATCAGAATACACTTTAAAAATATGTCAATAAGCCTAGAAGGAAGTGATTATTTCTGATTTTTTAGTATGATAGATGTTACTGCACTAAACATCTTTGTGCATATTATTTTTTTCTTCTGAATTATTTCCTTAGGGAAAAATTTCAAGAAGTGGAATTACAGTTACCAGAGGGTATGAACATTTTATGGCTCTTAATATGTGCCAGTACAATTTTTTTAAGAATTGATACAGCTATTGGTTTTGAATGGCCTGAAATAGATTTCAGCATTTGATTAGGACTGATAATCCCTTCAATCTACTGGGTTGATTGGCAAGTGCCACAGATCTTGGTTTTATCATGTTCACAAGCTAATTCCATATTCTTCCTGTTTTGTGAAGTAATTATAAGACAGTTATTTTGAATTAATCTTTTGGTTAATACTTAGTGGAAAATTCAGCGTTTTTATTACTTTCTTACCATATGCTTTGAATAAAATATACATTACTATTTATTTGTAGGACTTGATTAGAGACCAAGGGTTTCGTAGTGATGGAGGTAAGTGGTGATTTTAGTTTTTAAAAACTCAGGGAAAAATGCAACTGCTTTGCTGCTTGTCTCTTTTATATTTGCTTCTTTCATGAAACAGACACAGAGAAAAATGTGTAGAGAAAAACCAAATTTTTTCTTTAGTATTTATCATTTCTATCTAATAAAGTATTTCTTTATAACATGAGTAGAGAAAATGCAGAAATAAAAAGGAGTCTTAAATGTACTACCTATGGTTTTAAAAGTTTATCAGGGAGATATTCTTAGTTATTTTACCCACTTTTTTTATTTTAAACCATCTCCAAAGATTAAGATGCAAAATTCTCCTAGGGAACCTCTACCAGTACTTAAAGGTTGTGCTTAGAATCAATCCATTAAAGCTTGATTTTCCTAAATAGTTCTTGGAGAATCCCTTGGACTGCCTGTCACAGCTTCTGAATTTGTTAAATATTGTCGACTACTTCCCTTCAATCTTCTAAAAGGGTTTGAAATGTACATTTTATGGAATGAACCCCTAATAGAAAAGCCCGGTTGCCTTTTTTTGTCCAGTAAATAAAATAAGCAAATAAGAAATTAAATGGAGATTTCTTAAAGAATTTGAAATTCACTCTAGGACCCAGTAAAAATAGAGGGCATAAGAAAGCATTGTTTAAGAAAATACTTTTTAAATAAGAATTTACTCCCACATACCATTTTCTAAAAGATGGTATTTGAAAGAATCTTAAAGTTTTCTTCCAGATTATCCTCCATGCTTACCTTTTCAGCTGTCTTCTATCTAATAAGGAAGACCTGCAATACTTGCTTATCTTGCTTAGAGTTGGTCTCTTTCACTGTGACCTGCATTCTCTTCAAAATGTCTAAGCCCAGTCTCAAGAATATTTTATACTGAATAAACATGTATAAACTGTCTTATATTGTGTTTCTGTGTACCTATGAAGCTACCAAAGTAATAACCCTGCGTTATATACTCTAGGCATAGTGTTTACTATAGCAGATAGTTATAAAAGTGTTTTTTTTTGTTTGTTATTCCATGAACCCTCCAATTAATGTTGCTGCCAGTTTGACTTTCATATGTCTTAGTAGCTGTGGCTTTTGAAAATTTTGCCCAATACATCCAGCATTTAAATGTTGCCATCATTTTAGCACCACAAAGTTAACTTAGTCATAAAAACAGCCTGCTTAGTACCTAAAATGAAGTGGCATTTCTTGTCCTTTTTTATGAGTCACTTTTTAAAAAATCATTGGGATTTTATGAAAATAAGCAGTTTTTTTAAACATCCAGAATTATTTTGTGAAGCAGGCTTCGACTCATTTATTCCCCGTGACTTCTTTCATTTCTTCTGTGTCTGTCTTCCTGTGTTTGCCTGCCCCTCTCTTTCTCTTCTAACAGCCCCTTTGAACCAGTTGATGCGCTGTCTTCGGAAATACCAATCCCGGACTCCCAGTCCCCTCCTACATTCTGTCCCCAGTGAAATAGTGTTTGATTTTGAGCCTGGCCCAGTGTTCAGAGGTAGTTGGGCTCTTCTTTCTTGTTTTCACCCAAAGCAAACTAAATATAAACTACAGATACTGTTTGTGCTTCACCCTCACAGCGTGTGTTTGTAAGCGTGAGAGTTTTCAGTACCTGATTTCTGCTTGGCCTGGCTGGAATGCTCTGAATGTGCTTCTCACACATACTCACGACCACAAGCTTTCTGTATGTTGTCTGTCATAAATTTTAAAGGCAAGAAAAGTCTGAGATTTCCATCTTGTTTTTTCGTTACATTACTTTTTGGTCTTTGTAATGTCTTAAACTTAGTGGGTGGCAATAAATAATGTGGGAGGGGTGTCCTTTGAATTGCTTTTATTTTAATCTTCTTAGGTGGTCACTTTGATGACTATTAATATTTGTTTTTAATTTTTGCGATTTTTAAAAAGTAAAAATGAAAATGGAAATTTTTATTGACATTTTACTAGACTTTTGGCTTTGTTTTTTCTGTAATATCAGCAGTATTTTTTTAAGTAAGATATATTTACATTGTATTAAAGGTAGGGAGCTTTAAAAAGTTTTTAAATATATTTGGGTCATTTTAGCATACTTCAGAAAATTTGAGGAATGAAACTTTTAGCTATACCTTAATATGAGGAAAAAACTAGCAGTATAATTTCAGTCATTTTATCTTGCCATACTTCAGTGGTTAAACTGATTTTTTTTAACTTCAGTCAAAATTCAGACAGGAGTTTGCTGTAAATAGTTTTAAAGAATTTACTGGCTATTGCTAATTAGTGTCTGCCACTTACTCTAAACGTGGTGGTGGTGGTGGTGGTTCAGATTTTTGCTCTCAGCCCAGCTGTTCAGGAAATCCATAGAATGGTCTGGAAGTCATACAGCACCTGTAAGAAATAACAGTACAGTACTAAGTAGATCAGAACTGTGAAGCCTGGGCAAGTAGTTGAGGCTTTATGATGTTAAAAATTATCAGTGGAAGGCAGAAATGGATTGTGCTCTTGTTAATAGACATTCCAGATAACATTTTCTTTTAGAAATTTACATACGATTATCAAAAATCCATATGATAGCATAGTAATGATAAAATTTTTACCAGATTTAACATTAAGTTTTGCCATTGGTATCCCTGTTCTTTGAAAGATAGTAACTGCCCCCCTTCAAGAATAGAAATCTTTTCAAAGTTTTTTTTGAAGTCTTTTTGTTCTGTATGTACAGATATTTTTTGACATCTCAGTCCTACCTAACTGTCTATATTCAGGCTCCATTAGGAATCCTTGCCTTGAACCCCTCTAAACCAGATGCTACTGTACATGACCTTAGAATTATTGCCACTGAGCCAGCATTTGGAAAAGTACCTATCAGAAAGGTGTGCAGCCCTGCCAACTGAGTCCATTTGCAAAGAATGCACCCCTTGGACTCAGTCGGCTGGCAGAATATTTGCATCTATAGTAACTTGGCTGAGAGGCCATGTCACTTGACCTTGCTCTCACTTGTGAAGGCAGGGATTTTTCAGAGTCTTGAGAAACCTGCTAATTTTGTTTATAGTAATGTTAAATGCAGGCAACAAATAACCTTTGTTTAGTAAAATAAGCCTTCCAGAACTTATGAAACTGACCAGTACCTCACACTCTTAAGTAGTATAGTATGTGGTGTAGAATTTTTTTTATTTTAGTGGCTTATATGAAAAAGGCACTAAATTTTCAACATTAAGGCCATTTTTAGGATATGTTTCCATTTGGGGATTTCCATCTTTTTTATATTGATTGGCTGCTGAAGCAACATAAAATAATTTAAAGCTTATTTTTCATATTGGCTTTTAAATTAATCTTGCTTTTTTTTTATATCAAAGAAACAGAACCTTGGGGGTATTGTTTAGTATATATCTTTTATATTAGAGAGGTTTTTTCCCTTAGGATATGCACCAATAAGCAAAGTGTGTATCTGTAATCAGGTGTTTTAAAGGTCATTAAATTGGCCAGAAAACCAAAAGAAATTATAGTGCTAATCACCAAATTGAGGCCCCTTTTTGGCTTCTCCTTTCTAAAAGGTCTATGCTTGAACATGCACCACATTTTTTAAGTAAGTCTAAGTCTCCCCCAACCCTCTGCCCCCAATAAAGTAACATACTTGTTCTCCTTTAATGGGTGTATTTTTCCTCTCACTAACTTAGGATCAACTACAGGTTTATCTGCCACCCCTCCTGCCTCATTACCTGGCTCACTCACTAATGTGAAAGCGTTACAGAAGTCTCCAGGACCTCAGAGGGAGAGAAAATCATCTTCATCCTCGGAAGACAGGAATCGAATGGTAAGAGTATGTTGTATCTCTCTTCTTCTGTGTTCTTCTTTATAGAAGTCATAGCCAAATCTGATGTCACCTTTTAGATATATTGATATGTGATACAGAATTCCCATAATCAAATAAATTTAAGAGCTGGTGATTGCTTAAAGCATATTCACACAACACAGATTTTTTTCCTCTCAACTCTAATGTAATTGAAGAAAAGGCAGTTTTGAAAGGGTAAGAATACAGTTGACTCTTGAATAACATGGATTTGAGCTATTTGGACATACTTACATGCGAATTTTTTTCAATAAGTAAACAGTCATCCCTCCATATCCCCAGATTTTCATCCATGATTCAGTGAACCGAGGGTTGAAAACAGTATTGGTCCTGAAACCAATCTCCAACAGATACCAGGGGATCATTATGGTTAGGTTTTTGGGGAAATCAAAAGTTGCTTGCCGGTTTCAGCTGTGTTGCTAAACCCCACATTGTTCAAGAGTCAACTCTAATGTTCTGTTTCTAAAATAAGGAACAAGGGTAAGCTAGTATTTTAGGAAGGATTATTAGGCACATATGTTCTAAAGGGCTTCTCTGAAATTCAAGTATCTGCTAAATGACATTATTCCCTATTTGAAAATATAACTTCCTGAAGTCTATTAAAAAAAACAATCATTTAATTTTATCAATAGTGTATTAATAGTGTATGTTGGATAGGTGGAGTTTTTACCTTATCAAAGTGGTTGTGTATGTTGACAGTTTTTTAAGAGACTGGATCAGGTAAGATATGAGGAAATTTAGCATTGACTGGAAGAAAGTAAGTAAATAAATTATCAACGGTTACCATAAATTATCAACAGTTAACTTAAATTTTGGCCTTTGGAGCCAAAACTAGTCACAGATACATAGTACTTGCCTTGCCTGGAGTTGTCCTCCAACTTATAAGACTTCCATTTTATTGATTTTAGTGATATATATATATTTTTTTCATACCCTATACATAATTTTTGATAAATTGTTTTTGTCCTAATACTGACTTAGATCTTAAATTTAAGTTCTTTATTGTAGGAACCATACTTCTTTCTTCCAGAGGGTGTTCTTTTTTCTTTAAAAGATACTATCTCTTTCTAACTTAGGTACCCTTCAGACATAGGAGAAAGTATTTAGTGTGAAACCTAAGGTTTTCGTTTTGGTTTGCTTTTGCTTGACTTTTGAACTATTTTTATCAAGAAAACACTTGGTAGACGGGATTCAAGTGATGACTGGGAGATTCCCGATGGGCAGATCACAGTGGGACAGAGAATTGGATCTGGGTCGTTTGGAACAGTCTACAAGGGAAAGTGGCACGGTATGTATGTACGGTGACCTTGTCACAAGTTATAATAATGCAATGTGTCTGACAACTTTTATTTTAAAAATCAAAGGGAGTATTCACTCTGTAAATTATTAAACTTTTTTGATCATATTCGAGTTACTAAAGGTTTCTAACAAAAAGTTTCAAACAAAAGTATTCAGTAAAAACTGATTTCACAGCTACCAGGTCTCCTATCATTATATTACCTACAATTCTTTTTTAGGTAAAATGTCTTTATTGTTTGAAGCAAAAACAGTAAACATTTCATTTCTTAGTCATCTCAGTGAGGTTATAAAATTATATAAAAATACAATGCCACTTAGTCTACAAATTCCTGGAAATGTTTAGAAGTTCACACTTAATACAATGTAAAAAGGCACCTAACACACAACGAGATAATAAAAAAACAACCTCACTGATACAACTGAATGTTTAGTTACAACTTTTAAAGATGATGGTTCTCCAAGTGAGCTAATTCGCAAGATTTTTTTTCTTCAAAAATTTTTCTGTGTATAATTTTATTTGTATTATAAACCACAAGTATATTAAAAGTTTATTACCAGAGGAAGAAATGGAGTGGAAACATTTTTAAATGTTCGGCCTTACTAGTTATCAGAATCGTAAAATCAAAAAGTAGAAATCATTTTGCATCTCAAGTGGGCAAAGATTTTTTTTTAATTGGTAATATTTAGAGTTGTAATTATAGTTCTGCTGGTGGGAAAATAAATTGCTACAAGTTTTCTGGAGAGAAATTTGACAATATGTACATAGGGCCAGTAGATCCACTTGTAGAACTTTATAATGAGTAAGTAATTGGACAGGAACAAACATGTCTGTACAAGTATATCAATTAGAAGTTTAATATTAATGAAAATGGAAATTAAGTGCCCATCGAGTATTATTTAAATAAATTGATAACCTCCATATATGATTATACAGAAATTAAAGTAGTATGGTAGATTTCTATTTATTGCTATGGAAAAGTGTGGTATATTAATTTTACAAAGAAGTGTGCATAATATCCCACATTGTGATGCTACATAGAAATATATTTAACAATTTTAAAAATGATCATCAGTATTTGAGTACATATATTTTTAGGTTATCTTTTTATACAAATTCATAGTCACACTGACACATATAAATGCCTAAAAAAATATACATCAATATGTTAATAGTGGTCATTTATGAGTGACATGATTATGAAAAAATATTTTTTCTTTATGCATTCAAAATGTTTAGTTTTTTTTACTATGATCAGTGTATGGCTTTGATAATCAGGAAAATAATTATATCGAAGTATAATATACATGCAAGAAAGTTAAGTGTTCAAGTAGCTAAAATCTCACAAAGTGAGCATATCTGTAGTCAATAAACAGAACATGACGAGCATTGTCGAAGTCCTACTCATGTCCTCCTTCCCCAAGGGTAACACCTCTCTCCTGATTTTCACAGAAATAATACAGTGTACATCCTTGTGTCTCGTCCCTTTAACTCAACATTGTTTATAAGATTTGTCTACATTCCTGTGTGTAGTTATAGGTTATTCATTCTTTATATTGTATTCCATAATGATTCCTTTTTCTTACTATTGTGTGATGCGCATTTTAGTAGTTCCCATTTGGGCCTGTTACAAATGCTGCTGCTGTGAATATTCTTAGTGCATGCATGTCATTCAGTGAACGTGGGTATACATCCAGTTTCGCTGGGTATACACCTAGGAAAGAATTGCGGGGCCACTGGATATGCATACGTTCAGTTTTACTAGACACTGCCTGCGCACGGTGTTTCAGGTGGTCGTACCAATTTACATTCTCATTGGCAATGCGTGTGAGATGCGTGTGAGTTGTAACCGTTTCACATAAAGTTTTTTTAAAATAATGATTATAGTCTTAATAACTTTCCTAAGCAAAGGAACAAGTGATCCATGGATTTGAAAAAAAAATGTTAACTACTCTAATAAAGAAGTTTTGTAGTTTTCTGTTTCAGCCAAGCTTCATTGGGCCTGTCATTTGTAGTTTTAACATTGAGTTAGTAAATTCATCTCATTTAATATTGTTAAATAACCAGGGAAATACCCAGGAGAAAAACAAAGTTTGCTGGGTTTTTTTTGATTGGTATTTTGAAATACCAGTATAAGAATATCATTGTTAGTTTAGTTTTTATCCTTAGAAAATTAATGCTGTTAAGGAAGGTATGCTATAATTTATTATATCATAAGTTATACCATAAAGCAGTTTAATAATGTGTGGATTTAGGCCATGGTAATTAGTGGTAATTAGTGAAATACCCAATAATTTTTTTTTACATTTTTAAATATAAAATACCAGAATGACATTTGGAATAATAATTACCTTTTAGGTGATGTGGCGGTGAAAATGTTGAATGTGACAGCACCCACACCTCAACAGTTACAAGCCTTCAAAAATGAAGTAGGAGTACTCAGGTGAGTTCGTGGCAATTATTGTTTTCCAGAGAAATTGTCTTTAACTCCTGTTTCCAGTGTTCACCACTGTTAGCTGTAAAGACTTACTCGAAATGGATAAAACAGAGTTTGCATATATTTTGTTTTTAACCATATTCTTATAAGTGGTATGTAGTGTTCTATTGGTAGAAGAATTAAGCCTAGAGTGAATTAATGGAAATGTAGTATTCTTATGAGAAATAATACTTTCACTTATGGAAATAGTACTTTCAAAATTATAATCTGACCAGAACAAAATTAGAGATCATATCATGTCCTTGAACTTGAGGAACATTAACAAACTGGAGTATGTACAGGCAAGGACAACTTAGATGGGGACGATTCTAGAACTGTAACTTAAGGGGGAAAGTACCAGTAATCAACAGAACTGAGGATATTGGATCCATAGAAGGCTGTTATGTTTTAGGGTACAGACTCCTATTCCAGAGAGCAGGATAGGGAAGCCAGTGGAGGAGTTGTGGAAATATAATTGTTTTCTCAACCCAAAAAACTTTCTAAAACTAGAACCACTATTTTAAAAAAAAAAGAGTGGGGAAAAATAGACGTTAGTCTTAGTAATGAGCTTCCCATAATTGAAGATATTTAAGCAACCTCTAGTTTCCTCTCTGTCTGGTATATTAAAAAAAGATATTTCTGGAAAGAGTAGAATGTTGAACTAGACAATTACCGAAGTCTCTTCTAAATTTATCCTTCTTTTGCCTTTTTAAAAAATACCTTTTTCTGACAACATCTTACTGATACACTACTTTGGCCTCTTTTTAAAGATTTGCTGAAGTTTATCAGCATTTACTGTTTACTGTCTTATTTCTTTTTGTAGGAAAACTCGACATGTGAATATTCTACTCTTCATGGGCTATTCAACAAAGCCACAGCTGGCTATTGTCACCCAGTGGTGTGAGGGCTCCAGCTTATATCACCATCTCCACATCATTGAGACCAAATTTGAGATGATCAAACTTATAGATATCGCACGACAGACTGCACAGGGCATGGAGTAAGTTCCATTCTGTTAAATATCTTCTAAGTTACTTTCAAAGACCATTGAGGGTGTTTTAAAGATTTTAGCTGATACTCTTGTAATGCTTTTTAAATTATTGTCTAGGAGCATATGGACACTTTTAACTAATGGCTAGCAATATGATACTATGAAATAAAATTGTCTGTACTACAGTCTTCTAAACATAAAGTATTAATAAATGTGACTGCAAATTTATGTTTAATATACTGTGATATAGCTAAGCAATAATATGGTTCAGAAAACAAAAATAGGTGAGCGAACAACCACTAAAAATTATTAGCAGTTATAAAAGTATATAAAATAATTATTTTCTCTAAGTACCTGTATTTTCTATTGCAAAATGGTCATTTGTATATAACAAAATAAAATGAAAATTTGTATTCTGATCCTCTTTGAGGATTTCAGGTTCAATTGTTCATATCTACTGCATTGTGCTTTGTAATTTAAAAGATAAAAAGTAAATTTATAAAATTTACCATAGGTCAGAATCTGAATCTGTTCCAATCTGAAAGATTATATTAAAATCTTGTGATGAGTAAACCATGGCGAGAATAGTAAACATTGAGAGAAAAACAAAGATTATTTTCTCCTCCCTACCCCCCAACTAAGCACACTCCCTCCTCAAGGACTTTGTACTTGTTATTTTCTCTTTGGGATACTCATGGCACAAATATCCATAGAGCTCGTTCTCCCCATGTCTCTTTTCAAAGAAGCCTTCTCTGATCGCCTTAAATAACTAACGAATGGCCCTGCCTTACCCTGGTGCTCTCTGCACCCCCATCTTTGTTTTTGTATTTTAACTCCCAGTCTATACAACGTACTTGTTTATTGTCTGTCACTGCCACTAGAAGCTGTACGAGAGCAGGGACTTGGTTTTGTTCATTGTTTTGTCCCTAATGTTTAGAACAGTGCCTGGGCTTTGATAGGTACTCAGATCATATCTGTGGAATTAAAAAATGAAGAAGCATTACACACAATTGAGTATTATTGTTAAGTTTGCTTTTTAGAAGAAAGAGAAGCCAAATCCCTTCACATACCAAAATTGAGAAATGTCAGGGAAAGGAAAAATCAATGAAATAATAGAAGGATAGCAGAGAGGGAAAGGCTTTCACTATAAACAGAGGCAGCAAAAAATGGTCATAAAAATTATTTTTAGAAATAATGATGGAGCAGTCAAGTGCCAGTATTGATTAAGACAAGAAATGCCAGAGAAGATTACTATCAAATTGGAATAGTTCTGTAGTCTGGGGGATAGTTGGCGAAGAAGCGGTATTTTATTTTTTCATTGCTTTCCGTTTGCGACCTGTAAGTATAAACTTTGCAGTATATTAACTACTCTGAAATACTTGGCTTACATTTTAAGTAACACTCACTATATAATGAGTGTACCTGGCTGTGAATGTAGAACATGGCTATGTATGGTAGTTAGCAGAGGGGAAGGGTGTGTAAGGGGAGGACGAGGAGGGCGAAGGGGGTCAAATACAAGGCGACGAAGGAGACTGGTGGTAAGTCTCGGGTGGTAAGTACACAATAGAGTGTCCAGGTGTTGTATTATAAAGTTGTACCCCAAAATGTATATAATGTTGGTAACCATTGTTACCCTGAAATTTTTAATTTTTAAAAATAAATTATTTTTTAAAAAAAGAAAAGAATTCTATAGTATCCAAAAGAATAAAATAAAACAGAAAAAATTTTTAATTATGTTTTTAAAAAGAAAAGAATTCCGTTTCCTTAATATCTAAAAGGAATAAATTTTACCAAGGAGGTAAAAGATTATACTCTAAAAAGAACAGAACATCGCTGAAAGAAATTGAAAAGAAGTGAGGTTTGATGCACAATATTTCAGGTGTACTCAGTACCACTGAATTGTACACTTAAAAATGGCTAAAATGGAAAAATGTGTGCTATATATAGTTTATCACAGTTAAAAATAGTAAATAAATAAAATGACTGTGGGTTTCAGATAAGGTGACATATTTATGTTATCTTTTAGAACTTCCCTAAAACTATAATAAAATATTGTTTTTTAAACATGAATTTATAAGATCAGAGTTAACAGAAAGGAAAGAAGTAATATTGACAACATTTTAAAAGCAAGAGAGCAGATAGAGAAGTAAGTGATCTTGGACTTAGTAGACCCCAAAAGGCTAAATCATTAGCTATGAGGAAATAAAAATTCTGAGAGCTGTCTCAGAATTTTGTCTCCTGCTCTGTGCACTGGGTGACTGCCGCACCCCTACCCTGGCAGTAGACTGGAAACTTATTCCCTGGAGAGAGAAGAACAAATATTTCTGGACTAGGGACATGGACTTGGATACTCTACTAGAATCGGGAACTGAATGATCAGTGGAGAGTTCCCCAGACTCTTTTCATTTGTTTCCCAGAATGCTAGCAGACAAACCTCCTTCACACAAGATGCTGGAAGAGTCTTCTGCGAAGAACCTTACCAGCCGAGAGGAAAGATCCAGAGGTGGAGACAGAGATTCCACCTAGATAACTGTACAGGGAAGTTCAGAAACAAGCAGCCGTCTATAAACTAAAGCTTTCAGGAAGCTTTATAGTCCCTCCCTCATTCTGAGTAAGACCAGTTATCTCTGGCTCACCTGCCATCAGAGGGGAAGTCTCTGATGCCAGTGAGAGAGACCAAAACAAATGGGGGGTAGGGAGGCAACTAGGAATAAACAAATACAATGCAAGAAGAAGAAATACCTCTCCCCCAAAAAAGCCTGTCGGTCGCCTCAGCAATAAAAGATTTTTCTATTTCTGAAACAAGAATAGATGCTTTAAAAGGAACTTTCCCATAACAACAAAGAAATGTTAAAATGTTGATATCGACAGTATACTGGAAGTGACATCCTTTGCAGGTAAACTTAACCTTTAAATGTTTGGCTCCTCCTCCCCATCCTTCACCATCATTTCATGAAGTCCATAGACTTTAAGTAGCCATTAATAATATACTTCTACAAAGCCCTCATTTCAAAATAGTCAGCCCCCAAATGTTCCCAAGGTACTGTGAGAGTGAACTAACTACTTTCCAAAATGTATTCTAATGTCCCAGGGCATACACAGAACAAGAGCCTACTAGCTCATTGTATAGTATGCTGGGTGGCAGTCTCTCTTAAGATAAAACCTGTAGTCATTAGCAAAGTTAAGAAATTAGGACTGTCAAATGTGTCACCTTTATTGCATTATAGAATATGAGCAGACAGTGGATGAGTGACATTTTTCCTGTGTAGTTCTGTCTTTCCTCAGTGAAAGATCATTTCTGATTCCTAGGTTTACCTAAAGGGAGCAGAGCTATTCTAATAGTAGATAATTAGAGACTTACTCCTAGGAATCAAGGTTTAGACAGTGTGTTTATCAGCTTCTCACCTGACAGTCACTGATTCAGCCTAAGGACCAAGATATTTCTAGAATATATTACTAAAGAAAATTCAGGAGTAGTCATTCATCACGTTATTTATTTGCAGGACTTTCAATGTCAGTGTAATATATACAGTATAATTTTTAACTTAGCTTTATTAGAAAATTTACTAAGTGTTAAATCAAGGAGGCACAAAGAGAAAGTTATGGTCTGATGTTATACTCACAGAATTGTTATGTTCTGAATATTTATGTAAGATGATTATAAATAATTTGGGGATAAAACCTCACAGTTTACTTTTTAAAAACATAATAAAAGGCATGCCTTCCTTTACTCATAAAGAAATTTACTTAAAAATAGGATGAATTGAAGCTTAAAAGATGGTGAATATGTATTAATGATCGAAAATAATTCTAACTGATCAAAGAATATCAATAATGAATATGATTTTTTGGTGAGTAAAAACACTAATGGAAAGGAGGATGCTGATAATCAGAAAAATTCAAAGTAAAACAAACAGGTACTATTTTTTACCCACTGGAACTGGCCAAATTCCTAAGTTTCTGACACGATCCTGTGTTATTAAAGGTTAGGGGAATTGTTTACTGCGATAGGCCTGATAGAACCAGCCACCCTGGGGGTGTTTTGGAAGTGTCTGTTAAAATGGAAAATGCATGGTCTACTCCCAAGAAGCACAAACGTTTGTTCCAAAAGATGTGTATAGGAAGGGATATATTATAGAGAAACATTAATATTGAAAAATTAGAAACAATGACCATCAGTAGAGAACTAGATAAATAAAACATTAGCACATATGTGCAGGGGAATAATGTACAGCAGAAATGTATATGCATCAACACGAGCTTTACAATGCGCCAAGTGAGAATAGCAAGCTGCAGCCTGAAACCACTTAAAATTTTAAAAACATTTTTTATATTTGGCGTTTTTAAAGTCATACATATGTTTTTATGTAAAAGTATTAAAATAAGGATTAGAAGGCACATACCAAGCTCACTAGTGTTTGGCTGTCTCCAGGAATGGCAGAAAGGGGTCAAGATGAGGGTAGCTAGCAAGCAGAAGTGCTTTAACTTTACCTGTAACACCCTAATTGTTTATGTCTTCTAATAAAAAAGATTCTACAGTTATGTTTTACTTTCATAACCTTTTTACTGTGATAAACTTTGAAAAAAGACAAGAGGAAAATGTGTAAAAAGTTTAACAAGATTGATTATGGTGTAAATATTATTGAATTCTACATTATCTTTTTTTTTGCAGTTTTTTAAAATTTCAAAATAAAAGTTATAAAGAAATATGTAGTCATAAAATGTAAATATTAGTAACCACCAATAATCTACCATCGAGAGAGAATTACTATTAATATTTTGTGTGTATTTTCATTCTTTCAGAATTATTTTAATACTATATGCAATAGTTTGTTGTTGTTGCTGTTTTTAAATGTGGAATCATATTGGGTGTTGCCTTTTTTCACTCCCTCCTATTTTAAACATCTTTACTGGACAATATGTACTATGTTCTGACCCCAACTCTGCTGTATACTGGTAACTTAACTCTCCCCCTCCCTTTTAAAAAATTATTTTAGAATTTTTTTATG